CCTCTGTGCCAAAACAGGGCATGGTCTGTCACGGACGACTATTTCGTGCCCTTTGAAACGCTTGTTGGTCCGGGGGATGCCAGCCCATCCTCGGCACGAGCGCCAATGCGGCCCCTGGGGGCCGACAGGCTCAACCATGGAGGGACATATCGTACAACATGGTCTCTGTAGGGGCGGATATTCGGGAAGTTGCCCGTGCCAGAATCTACGTTTCCAGATGGCCTCCGGCCACTCTGCTCCAGAGGGCCACCGTGCCCGCGAGGGTGGTGACACCAGTAAACTGGGCCCACTAAAGGGGTTAAGGCGCCCCTAAGCCATATCACTTCAAGCTCCTCCACCTCCTCCTCCTCCTCCTCCTCCTCCTCCTCCTCCTCACTATCAGCCTCTTCTTCTTACTCCGCCTCCTCCTCCTCCGCCTCCTCCCCTTCGTCTTCCTCATACTCCTCGTCGCCCTCCACCTGCACCTTCACTTCCACCTCCACCGCTTCATTCTCCTCCTGCTCCTCCTCCTTCTCCTCCTCCTCCTCCTCCTCCTCCGCCTCCACCTCATCAAAGTCATTTTCCTCTTCCTCGTCATCATCCTCTTTCGTCTCCGCCTCCGCCTCCGCCCCCGCCTCCGCCCCCGCCCCCGCCTCCACCTCCGCATCCGCTTCCCCTTCCTGCTCCTCATCATGCTCATCCTCTTCTTCCTCCCCCACATCCTCCTCCTCCTCCTCGCCGTCATTTCTCACCGCATCCCCTTCCTCCTCCTCCTACTCCTTCTCCTCTTCCTCCCCTCCGTCCCCCGCTCTCCTCCTCCTCCTCCTCCTCCTCCCTCCTACACTCGCTCTCTCCTCTCTCCCTCTCTCCATTCCTCCTCCTCCTCCTCCCCTCCTATTCATATGCATTCATCATCATTTCAGCATCATCAATCATAATTCATAATCATCATCACAGCATCATCACCATCATCATCATCATTCATCATCATCGTATCATCCTCCTCCTTTGCCGACCTCCTCATTTCCTCATCCTCCTCCTCCTCTTACTCTACTCCTCCTCCCTCCTCCCCCTCCGCCTTCTTTCTCCGCCTCTTCCATCTCCTCCTCCTCCTCCGCCTCCTACTGTCCCCGCCACTCCTCAACATTGTCCTGTTTCTCCTCCTCCTCCTCCTCCTCATCGTCCTCCTCCTCATCCCCCTCCTCACCGCCACCAGCATCCTCACCAGCAACAGCAATCATCATCACCATCAACAGCATCATAATCATCGGCATGAGCATCATCATCAATATCATCACCACCACCACCATCATCATCATCATCACCATCATCATCATCATCATCATCAGCAGCATCATCATCATCAGCATCATCAGCATCATCATCATCATTATCATCACGATCAGCATCAGCATCATCATCATCAGCATCATCATCGGCAGCATCACCATCATCATCATCACCATCACCATCATCATCACCATCATCAGCATCATCATCATTGCCATCATCAGAATCATCATCATCGTCATCTGCAACGTCATCATCATCATCATAATCATCATCATCGTCATCTGCAACGTCATCATCAACGCCATCACCATCAGTATCAGCATCATCATCAGCACCGCCAACACCGTCAGCATCATCATCGTCATCACCAACAGCATCATCATCATCATCATCATCACCATCATCATCATCATCATCATCAGCATCAACATCATCATCAGTTGCATCAGCACCGTCATCAACATAATCAGCATCCGCATCATCATAGCCAGGAGCAACACCATCATCAGCATCATCATCATCATCAGCAGCATCATCATCATCAGCATCAGCATCATCATCATCATCATCATCATCAGCATCGTCATCATCATCATCATCATCATCATCATCATCATCAGCAGCACTAGCACATTAGCATCAGCATCACAATCCTCCTCCTCCTGTTCCCCCTCATCCCCCTCCTCCCCCTCCCCCCAGCATCCTTCCTATAACTCCTCCTCCTGCTCCTCCTCCCCCTTCTCCTGCTCCGCCTCCTCATCCTCTTCCTCCTCCTCATGCCTCTCCTCCGCATCCGCATCCGCGTCCGCCTCCGCCGCCGCTTCCGTCTCCTCCTCATCCGCCTCCTCCTCCTGAGGACCCCCCTCTTCATACTACTCAACATTTTCCTCCTCTTCTTCCTCCTCATCTTCCTCCTCTTCCCCCATCCCTCAACTCCACTTCCACCTCCACCTCCACAAACTCCTCCTCCTCATCCTCCTCTCTCTCCCCCTCTTCATCTTCCCCATCCTCCCCCGCCGCCTCCTCCTCCTCGTCCCCTTCCTCCTCACCATCCTCTTCCTGCTCCCCCTCATGATCATATTCCCCCTCCTCCTCATCCTACCCATCCTCCTCCCCGTCCTCCTCGACCTCCGCCTTCCGCTCCGCCCCCGCCTCGGCGTCCTCCCCTCCTCCTCCTCCTCCTCCTCCATTCCTCTCCTCTTCTGATCAGCCTCATCCTGCTAGTCCT